GGATTTTAGAATTGTTTGAACTAAGATAACAGTGTTCTGCTTTAACCTTCTATCAGTTTTACTACTCCCATATATTATTTACATGACCAGAATCATAATGGTCATTGTCAAAATGACCCTTACCATGCTGAAATAGCTTTTTCAGCCCTCTGAAATTGTGACCGAAAAAAGTTAAAAGTTAGCAATTCCGAAAGGTCACTGAACAGAATATATTGAATTTTTTAGAAAATGTGCCCATTATATTATTCTGTTCACTGACCTTTTAGAAACACTAACTTTTTACTATTTTCAGTCACATTTTCAGAGCACTGAAAAGGCTATATTTCTGCATGGAAAGGGTCATTTTGACCATGACCATTGTGATCCTGGCAATGTAAATGATATATGGGAGTAGTACAACTGACTGAAGATCAAAGCAGAACTCTGTTATCTTACTTCAATAAATTCAAAAATCCACATGATTTTTTCATTTCCTGTTTGGTGTAAATTCCCAATAACTTCTTCCTTTTATTAGAAGGAATGGATGAGAACAAGATGCAAGCTTTTAAATATCATTTAAGTCTTTTAAGCAGATTCCTTCCTGAAAGTGACACACTTTAACCATAACCAGAAGGGCCACAGAGTGATAGCTTCAGTACATTCTTCTGAAGAAAGCCTATGCTACATATACATCTGTTGAGAATCTTGACAATGGAATACCTAAAGAGTTTGATGATTGGTGTAATGCCCAACAGCATGTACCAGTTTTCAAGTTTTGGTTTCTAGTTATTCAAGTTGAACTCCTCTGCCTTAACTATGTGAGGGCTATTGGAAAACTTCCCCTTTACCTCCAATCAATAAGCAAGCTTCTCCCCTGTTTTTTCATTTTTGACCACTCCAATGGGTTCCAGTACATATAAGGGATATGGTGCAACTACCAGAAAAACACCCAGAGATCTATGAAGCCTTCCTGAAGGGCCACTTCACTGTGAGTAAATTGAGACGAAGCTTTTCTGCCATAGCAATCGATCAAGCTCATGAGCAGAAAAACAATCTTGTTAAATCAGATGGCGGAGCAGTGGGGCTCTTTGATAACCAGACAGCTCTACAGAAGTGGATGGTTGGAGGGCCTGAATTAGCCAGACTGATCACCGAGTTTGAGAATAATATATTTGATGATCAAGATGAGGACCTATCTAATCATGAACAAAGCAAAAGTATTCAACAAAAGTTCATCAAAAGAGACATCAACAGACTTGTACTCCTTAGACAACAAAGAAGTTGTATCATCAACACCCGTTATATGTGTAATGTCCGGGGCTAAGGCCGTGGGTGGCAAATAAAAGTAACAGAAAACTAAGTAAAATACATAAAATAGTCTATTCCAACTTATGCACATAGCATCTCTACAACAAGTAACAACTGAGGCTGGGCCAACACCCAAACTCAAGTGAGTGAGTATGTTCCATATATGGAAGTTACACAATACAAAACAACATTGAACATATAGCATGAAAAGCTAAAACTGGTTTGAAACAAAAGAAAGTGAAAAGGTAAGGCATGGCAAACAAGAGGATTAAAACATTTGGCACTAATACAATAGTAACCTAGGGACCTGTTAAAATGAGATGAAGGGATTGATCAATATGAAAAGTGAGAAATATAGAAATATGAAAATGGCCATGTTACATATGAAATGGAGCAAGCTGGCCAGGATTAGTACACATTGTACATTAAGGAAAGACTGGTTGACAGAACAAACCCTTTAGCAGACACTACAAAGAGAAACAACTACAAAATATTTAAAGAACAGAAAACAAAGATGCATATAAACAAGGAAACATTAAAAAATGACTGTGCCCTTTTCTCAAAATGACAAATAAGTCTGACATTCTCAAACCATTAGAGCAGCTACCTACTGTAAATCAACAAGTTGAGTGCCCACAGGTAGAAGCATTGCTCCTTGATGGTGCAGCCATTGTGCACCTTTTGATACTCCAACAGGCCAAAATATTCCAACAGTACTTAGATCATGTGTTCAATGATTAGAAACTATATTTCTTCCCAGCTAGCATGAGTGGCACGACTAGACATTGTGTGGGATCAGTACCTGGAAAACAGTTTTAAACTACCAACCAGACAGAAAGGAGGAACAGGCAAACAACGCCAAGTGGATGGATAGCTTTTGGAAATGGGAAAAATTATGCATTCCGTTAAATGGGTCCCTTGGACTTAACAAGGCCACTTGTCTCCCCTTATTTCATGCCCTCACTGGTTAAGACACCACATCTGGATTCCATGGTAAATCCAAAACAACAGCATGGAAACAATGGAATGCTTATCCCGAATTGACAAATGCCCAATTTTGGCTAAAGATCCAAATAAGTTAGCCGTAGCTATGCCAATCATTGAACCTTTCATTGTTATTTCATACAATACAGAAAGCAACAAAACAACTATAAATGCTGCAAGACAAGAAATGTTCATGAAGAAAACCACACAACCCCAACATTAGATGCTTTAGAGCAGCAAGTGTGTCATTTACCAGGCAGTATATGCATGGGGGCAGTCCACTATAGCCATCCCAGTCATTCCATCACCCTCACAATGGGGTTGGGAATCAATCAACACCAAGACTGGAAAAATGATCTGGGTTCCAATGTGGAAGACACTACCCCAAGCCTTAGATGCTTTTAAAAATGCATTTGGAAGCAACAATGTTCAACTAAAGGCTGCAAGTGCTTTAAAGCCAATCTTCAATGTACCACCCTGCGTTTGTGTAATGGGGAATGTGAACATTAATTGATAATGGCATATATAATACTTGAGTGCATACGGATACTTAATAAGGTAACTGATCAACTAGTCAGAGAGAGTGCTTTCATTAAAACCTAACAAAATCAATTTATATTTGTGATTAACACATATTATATCTTAATCACTAAAAGTGGGCGTGGCCAATAACAAGCCTTTAACAATATAATTGTCTTTCCTATAGCATATATTATATAAATATCATCA